ATGTCAAATATGCAGTACTCACATAAGACTGACAGTAGGTGATTATACATTGCCAGGTCACATGTCAAATATGCAGTACTCACATAAGACTGACAGTAGGTGATTATACATGCGACTTAACAATTATTTTGCACTATTCAAATTTTGTTTAAGGGAGGGGGGACTAGATTTTAAACAAAAATATTATGTTTTTTTGAGTTTCTGCAAGAAGGTAAGACCATACTTTGGACTGCTTTAATCATATATTCTATTGACAGCCTAAAGAACAACTTCCATTACACATGGCTGCTGGTAGGCCTAGTGGAGCTCTTACTATTGTACAACAGTTATTAAAAGTATCCGGAAAAGACTCAAGACTAACCAAAGACAAAGTATGTAGATGTGTTCATTGCAATATATTTATAAGATCATCGATACCGTTTTCTTTAATAGTTAAAAGTGTCAACTTATGACTATAGATGGCGCTGTCTTCTTGATTGCAAAGTCTAGTAGAGGGAAAATCAATTCCTGATACAAATCATTACAATTTGCTTGAAATTACGGAAATAATTCAAAGGATACAAATACTGAAACACTGAGAACTCAATATTACTGACAGAATGATTGTTCATCTTTTCAATGCCAAATCAAGTTTAAACCTTTTTGATATTTGTGATTTTTTCAACATAGAGGGCGCCTGATTACCACGTTTCAACTCCAGCTAGTCAATGTTAACATAACTTGATTTAAAGTCAATGATTCACTACAATATTCACTGAATAACACAATGTACATCTGAAAACAACAAAAATGAAATGTTTTGTTCTGCCTCATTTACTTGTGTCAATTTCTTGTGGTATGACTATTACATGTGTGAAACCTTGATTCATTTCTGATTTGCATATTCAGGAAAGCTGTATTGCACTGATGTTGGCATGTGAACAAGGAAATGTGACAGTGGGAAAGGAACTATTAAACCTACATAAGGAAGATCAAGTCAAAGTACAGAGAGCGGATAATGGAGATATACCCCTCCATATATCATGTCGGAAAAAAGATTTAGAATTTATCAAACTATTATGTGAAAACAGTAGTCCTGTTGATATGCAAAATGTAAGTGTATTAGTGTACTTTTAACAATGTGTGCATTTATTTATTTATTAACACACAACATCCCCCCCCTTGAAAAGGATTACAAATCAGGTATTAGTAAAAGAAATATAACTGCATAAAAAGTAAAAAAGCATTAAAAAAAAAAAAAGATAACAATATATTAACAGCATAATACAGTAACAACTCATGTTTTTTACCTTGCCCGTACCATCAAAGATGGAAGGGAAAGGTATATTAAGGGAAAAATTTTGTCCTGCATTGTCGTCGTCATCGTTGTTGTTGTCGTCGTCGTTAATAATTGTTATTGTGTGCATAATAACTTTACTAA